ATGAACCTATTCTGAACTGTCTTAAAAACTAACATGTTTTATAACCGGTTTCAGGGTTGGGAATCAGAGGGTCGCTGGTTCAAATCCCAGCACGGACCAAGTCCAGAAATTGGCCTGGTAGCTGGAGAGGTGCCAGTCCACTTCCTGAGCACTGCCGAGGTGCCCTTGAGCAAGGCACCTAACCCCCCCACCAGCTCAGGAGCGCTCGCTGTGGGCAGCCCCCTCACTCTGAGACCTCTCCATTAGTGTGTGTCCATAGGATCCTGTTTGTGCATGTGTGTGTATTTCAGCCTATGTTTGTGTAGCATGTTAACTAGACAGAGTGTAAAAACAAATTTCCCCTCGCGGGATCAATAAAGTATACATTATTATTACACACAAACTGATGAGTAATTTAGCAAGGTTAATTTAGCCATGAGCAACGACAAAGACTTTAACTACTCGGCTTATTGATTCTGTGTGGATGATAAGAACAGAATCAATAAGATGATCAAATAGGCTGGCTCTGTGATCGGCATTACCCCACACTCTTATCCAAAGTAACTTGAGGTTACTTTGGATAAGAGAATGAGGACCAACCTAAAAACTGTTTTGATCTTTGAAGTCAATCCTCTTCATGCTGTTTTTTTTTTTTTTTAAGATTTATTTTTGGGCTTTTTCTGCCTTTAATGGAGAGATAGGACAGTGGATAGAGCTGGAAATCAGCAAGAGAGAGAGAGAAGGGAATGAATTGCATGAAAGGAGCCACAGGTGGGATTTGAACCTGGGCCGCCCACTTGGAGGATCATAGCCTCCATACATGGGGCACTCACACTAACCACTGTGCCACCAGCACCCCTCTTCGTGCTGTTTTTAATGGACTCCGAAGCTCCTCCAATGAGTGACTAGCGTTGAGTGTTCATTGAACGGGTCAGGAGCTCCTTTGTTCCAGCAGCAGTCTGGAACAAAGGCAAATGTTTAATGAACATTTTTAGTTGTGGCTCTGACTCATGGCTGTACATGATGTCTCAATTGGTTTCATTTGTGTTTGTTGTTTATTTACTTGTTGTGTACTGTCGATGATGTTTGTTGTGTGTATGAATTGACCAGTTTGATAACGAGTTTGGGAATGAATAAAGTTTTCTAATCTAATCTAATCTAATGACACTTGTGCGACCAAAATGTCGTTTGAGGTCGAGGACTTTTCTCCTCCAGAGTCTCCTGTCGGCCATGACCACGGCGGGCCACCTGTAAGAAAGCTGACATTTTGATATGGTTATCTCTAATTTGCTGTTATGCCATCCTCGTCTTCTTATCAGTCAAAATGACCACGTATTTCAGGACAAGACCCCTCTCTAATGCTGAGCTGAAATGATCCGATGCCAATGATTTGTCATCATCATTTTCAACTTCAGCCAGGACACACTAACCCAGGGTTTGTATATTATAATTATCCAACAAATTCAAATATCAAATGGCAGTGAGATGAATTCAATGGTAGCAGTCCAATGATTTTTGTAATGACGCTGTAAAACATGCCCTGACAACCATTAAAATTCACAACAGGCCATATTACAGGATGAGCGGTTCTATAATCATCAGTAATTTCTGGTTGTTCACTTTGACATGCACCAGAGAATCCTCGCTCCCCCGCAGCCTCACGATGTGACCTGCCACCCTGGGTTTCTGCGTTTCATGTAAATATAGTGTGTAATGATACACTGTCAGAGCATAGATGCTATTATGGCCTTCCTACCAAGCAGAGGTCATCTTTGCCACCCCGCCCTAAAGAGGGGGCGCCTCACCGCCGTGGTTAAGGCCCTGCTTTCACCCAGACCAAAATGACAGACAGGATTTCATCTTAACATTTCGAGCTGGGTTTGTGGTAGAGAGCGCTGAGAATCCTATTGAAAACTTTACAAGGATTTAGCAGATACTCGATGATTAGTGGAATCATTTCAAATTTATTTTGACTAAATCTAGGCTCTTTTTTTCACTTGATCGCTGATTCTGGGTCCTACGTCCTGCAAAGCGACCAAACATTATGACAGTTCTTACACAAACAAGGTGAGCAGGAGTCAAACACACAATTATGCACGCAGACACGCGTACATTCCAGCATAGAAGACATTAACATATGTCTCCCTTTGAAAGTTCAGATCATTGTAGCCTGTGTATGCTCTGCAGAAAGGGGTCTGGTCGTTATTACAGTGATACACCGCAGTGCACTTCTATCAAAGCCATTCCAAATGCATTTATTTTGACATGCCACAACACACTGTGTGAAGTGGTTTTATTTAGACGCAGAGTGTATCACTTAGATACCTGAAAAACATCAACGGTGCAGTTTTCTTCTACAGCACAGAGAGGCTCTCCAAACACTTTCATATTTGTTTACAAAGTGACATATTGAAAGCATTTTATAGCTCACATTTTGATCTGTATACTTTTAAACATATTTTCTTTTTTTTAAACACCACAAAGACATCGAAAGAAGTACATATGGTTACTGTATCTGATTTTCCAAAAGACTATTACAATCAAAACTATGGACTCTTAGATGTCCGGTTAAAATTCAAGCCATCCTTTGAAGATGTTTTCTCTGTAGTGCAGTAATATACAAATAGAGCCCTGGGGAAAAGATCACTCCGTTTATTGATTTGTCACACTTTGAAGTCATTCTCTCCTTTCTCCTGAACTCCACACTGATGGCTCAAGTTCAGCACTCATCACACAAATGAAAAGCAAAGGCCTGGAGGCGTGGGGGCAATCTGCTCCAGCGGGTCTGCCTTATGCCTCCACTGTAAACGTTTCATTAGCAAGCTGATTATTCTTCCCCTACAGGCTGAAAACTGCATGAGGAGTGAATGTCCATAAGGCAGCAATGCTGTACACAATGAGGCCCTGAAATACTGAGCTGTCTCCAAAGAACATACACAAAGAGCTGCAGGCTGGTTTGTGGATTGTCAACCAAACATATTGGAAATAACATGAACACATGAAGCAAATATACAGTTCTATACCATGACTTGTAAACATAAAAAGGACTTTTTTTATTCCATGACAGAGAGAAAAAAAACAGTGTCCACATGTTTGTGTGTTCCTGTACGGTTGAAAAAGTGCAAGAGACCAAAAGAACAACAAAGCAGCAGTTCTGTTTGGTTATATGTACTACGTCTTCACATATTCTTTAAATAAGATGAACAGGCACAAATAGAAAAACAGACTATAGACTGAAGTCTCCGTCAGTACCTGAAGGTTTGTGTCCACATAAAAGTCCAGGGGGAAAATGCTAAAGAGGTTAACTAGTTGTGACAAATAGCTCATAAGCTGATTAATTCAATATCATGAGGATACAAAGAGCACATTTTGAGCTATTTGAGGGGAAATCCAGCTGGAAATACCAATGATTGGTTCTAACATAGTACAGCTATATTCCATTCAGTCAACTTGGAATGTCTCCTGAAGCTTGGAAAAACGTTGCAGTCATGATTGTATAAAAAGAGAAATGCAGCTGCTCCACAGACAGTGAATAATTGAACACTGGATGGAAATCCCAGTGCCCCCAAGGATTTTCTGATTCACAGATTTAACAATCACATAAAACACATTTGGATGCAAGATACATTTGATGTGAATCAATCCTTCAAAATATACAATAGATCAAAAGACAACGTGTGATATGAGAAGGGTTCAAATCATAACCAACCATTCCCCTCAGCTCGTTTTTTTCTAAGCATCTTTAAGCTCATTGTTTTGTTTTTAATTTCCCCTAACTACAATTTTCTTAGTTCACTTTCACCATTACTATTTCCAGAAGAAGCAAGCCAATTTTTTGAAATAAAAGCCTCTGATTATGGGCGCCGGTAGCCTAATGGTTAGTGCGCGCCGCCCCATGTCAGAAGCTAGCTCTCCAAGTGGGCGTCCTGGGTTCGAATCTGATCATTAGCATCTTTCCCGCACTTCCTAAAATAAAAGCATAAAGAGCCACAAAAAAAAAAAAAGAAGCTATTAAAAAAGCCCCAAATGTTAGACAGAGAAAGTGAGAAACTATCCAGGAAATCTCTCTCTTATTGACACATCATGTAATGGAGTGTGAAACTACAAATTAGTGTTTGTGTTGGTTTGAATCTGCTTAATGTGAAATATTGCAACAGCTTATATTACCTATTACAAAATGTTCAACCCTAACACCTGAAAACAATATTGATGTTTACTTGTTTAGTGCACCAAAGTGGTGAAAATGATAAAAACATTCTGGTCAAAGGGATTCTCATGATAAAATGAAATAAAATGACTGAATGTAACTAAAAAAAACAAGCTTTACAAAGCTTTTAGCCACTTAGCTCATTGTTTAATGCTCTTCTCAAACACTTGTTCAGAACACATATACTGTGGTTGGATTCAATTATATTTTTGGGTATATACCATTTTCATGTTTGTAGAAAGCGATGACGTATTTTGTTGGTGGCAGAAAGTTATTCTTGTGATGTCATTCTGATGAAAAACTTTTCATTTTACCACCTTGAATACAACGACTGTTCATTTATAATCAATCTCTCTAACTCTGTCACCATATTACACTTAAACCTGTGGAGGTTAGCATGTTTGACAAGTTCCCTTTTCATTTTCTCATATTTTTCTAGTGGAGGCATGTCCAGAACAGCCACTTCTGCAGTTTTATTAAGGCAACAGTAACCCTGTTGAAAAGGACACAGGATTCAAACAATAGTCGTGATTGCTTCTATGACTCTTCTCACAAAACAAGTGTGATTGTAAGAGATCGAAAATACAATGTTTTTCGAGGAGAGACAATTTTCTACCTATTAAAATGGAAAAACTCTCATTCAAGCACAAGCTTCCCACAGTGGACATGAAGTAAGATCTCTGGATGTTTGACTGGCAACATTTCTGTAAATGACTTCATGATAACCATGAAGGACAACTTGTTTATGTTTAGCTGCCAAAAGGATACCATGAAATTCTAACAGATCCAACGGAAAGCCAATCACCAAACCATGTGTTTTCACCAATTCTGATTACTTTATTTTCAATAAAAACCACAGATCCATTATATTATTACAATAAGGGTGAGTTTGTGTCAAACTAAATAAAGATTAGAGCAGAGCTGAACACATTCAAAGTAACAGCACAAAGAAGCAGACAGTCGCAAAATTCAACCTACTAATCCCCACAGAACCCCACTCCTATTAAAGAGAAAATAAATCATGTTATGTGAATGCATAAGTAGAGTTCTACCAAACAGAGTGAATCAACGCTGTTTTTGTCTTGCAAAAGAATGAGGTTCTCTGATCCAGAGGTTCTGTAACAGTCCATTCACGGGCAGACTTTGAGGGACATGGCTCTCATCTGGATGCTACTTCCTGATACGATGGTCAACAAAGTGTCTTTTCCTGGCTGCTTCCCACTGATTGGATGAATGTAGAGGAAAAGAAGAGTGTTTGGAGTTCACGGTGACCCGAAGTTGGCCCTGGAAGAGGAGAGAGGTTCAATAAGTAAAACTTGGTGATCCACAGCAGACGGCAGATGAGGAGGAAAAGTCGAGCTGCATGGAGAAAGTTAGAATTAAAGGGAGGTTTTTGGATTAGATTGAATACTTTGTCGATTCTACCTCTACGTCATTATTGAAAGAGCCAACACAATTCTAGATTACAAATTTGTTTTAAAAAATTCTCCATTACAAATTGGAAACCCCACCCAGCACCCTTCGGTGAGGTTTCAAGGGCACCTGAGTGATGTCCCCTACACAGAACAAACTGAGTCTAAATTCTACAGAAGACATTCTAGAGAGGTTTGTCAAACCAAACCTGATTCAGTAAGTGAATCTGTGTCCGTCAGGGCTATGAGACTCAGCAGTGGAGGACTCCAGAGCCCTCGAACCCTGAAAGGCACAGAGCAGACTAGGGCTGGGCGATATGGCCTAAAAATAAAATCACCAATTTTTTTTAAACCACACCTAATTTACGATTTTAATCAATTTTTTTCTCAAACGACCTACGAAACACAGAACAAGAAATTTATCAAATACCATTTGTTTTCATTTCAACAATACTTTACCAAACTTTTCTTTTAATAAAATGTGCCTCTTGTAAACAAAATGAAATATTGTATTTGCATGGCATGCACAATAGCCTATGTATTAATCAAACATTAGGTGCTTGTAAATAATGTCTTTCAAAGTGTTTTTACAAGTTTTTAGTGAAGAACACAAGCCTGTCCACTGCCTGTGGCATGTTACAATTGAGGTTGGCGGGGAATCATGGGAGTTCTCTCTGCTACTCTCTCTCTCTCCCGTTACAAAATTGACTTATTTCTCTGATAACTGTTGGAAATATTTGAGGTAATGTAAATACTCAACAAAGAAATATATAAATAAGTCCAATTTTAATTAATTTCAATATTGTAACGTAAATATTGTAATTAAATTCTTCATATTGTACGTTTAATGTCATATTTTAACATTTAATTCTCTGTGATTGTTAATGGTGTTTTAATGACTTTTAATGGGTTCAATGGGTCTTAAATGTTGAGAACTGGCAGAAACTATACGTGGACAGCCCGCCTAGCATTACATGCTAACACGACATCGCTAGATCACATGCTTCCTATGTTGCAAAAAAAAAAAAAAAAACTCTGTTTCTGATTGGCTAGTACTGTTGGTTATGTTGAGACGAGAGCTGCGTGATTGGCATATCATTGATAAGTGAACTCCATTCCCTCAAACTTCATAAACTGCATGTACAACAAATTCCCATGCGTAAAAATGTTTTATTTGTATTTTTCCCAACAGCCTCACGCCGGCACAGTTCTGGAAAACTTTACGCCCTGTGTATATTGTTGCTGATGTATTATTTTCATTAGGTTGTTGTTCATTTTGAAAAATATGACAGCACCGTTACTAAAACAGGTTCTATAAAAAATGTTACTCTGGGGTCAGTAACGCATGTCAAATGAACCAAAGCCTAAACATCCTCCTCTAAATCAAGTGTCAAATGTTTGGAATGTATGTTCATCAATTCAAGTCATACAGAAACCAAAACAGAGTTTTCTGTGTAGTTTGAACTTTTTTACAATTTATTTCTTCAAACTCAGTTTTTAGCTTTATGACCAAATGTGTATTTTCTTCTTTTTAGAAGTTAAGCTGTTAACATGTTAGCTAGCAAATAAAACACAGTCTCACTTGGATAGTAGGAATACAGATCAGATATACATAATACAACATCTGAATGGGTCCCTGGAATGTGCAATGTCTGGATGATCATAAACGATATGTCTAGAACAAGATAAGTTAAACATTGTGTGGGGAAATAAAACACTGAATGCAATTACACCGTCTCTCCAAGGATGTATGGGTAATAATTTCTGATGGCACGTCATGGTTTCCTTGACTTCAAATAAACGTTACAGGAAAACATAGAGCAGATTATAGGGCAATTGTTGACAGGTCTTAATATACAATAAGTGTTTGAAAATGACATAATCTCTCTTGAACAAATGTACTTAAAGAGAGCTTTCAGATCTTTCCCACCTGAAGGAATTCAGTACTTCATCATCCTCTTGATCGCGTCAAAGCACTTCCACTTGTCCGGGATGTAGAAAGGCTCAAAGATGTGGGGGAAAGGGGTGTCGTAACCACAGACCCTACTGATGGGAGCCTCCAGGTTAAGGAAACACTCCTCCTGCAAGAGAAAAAAACTTCTCACTATGGGCTGAATACTGTCAGTCCTTAAACATCATTCAATAAGACAAGAGAAACAATTTAACATGTTCAGGCTGCAACAGCTCTTAACCTCAAGTGCCTGATTCTTTCAGTTAAACCTGACAGAAATATTCATAAAGGCTTCATAACAGCTGTTGGATGAAACCACAGTGTTCAGTCAAAACATAGGTTTCATTTATCTCTTTTCGATGCTGAGGCATATCCCAAGACAGAATATATGGCATTGATTTGAAAAACAAGTCAAATGGATATGTTGAATGTTGTCAAACCACTTGATGTCTAAATTTGATTCTAATTGCTGTATTAGATTTATATGATACAAGCTTAAACCATTCATTCAGGCTCCTCAGAGCAGGCAAGTGCAGGCAATTTGGCCAGAGTGCAAAACAAACCATGACTCGTGTCTCTATTTTGGCTCTTGACCTCTTCCCATGGAGACAAAACAGAATGAAGTTGGTCAAAACACTCCAAATGGGACAAACCCCCTGATGAGTTACTGGGACCAGGCACGCAGATTTGCAGGAAGAGACCTGAAGTACCCTCTTTCAGTCTAAACCGACCTGCAAGCAACTCAAGCAATCCAAACAAAAGCATACTACTCCACTTGGAGGAAGTGTCACAGCATCCTGTTTGTGTGTTTGAGGAAGCGCAGTGTGTCATTGGCAAAGACACAGAACAGATTGTCACCTGTTTTCACAGTCCCCTCCATGTTATCCCCAAGTACCAATCCGCCAACTATCTTCAGTGGAGCCATTTTTGAAGACTTTAAGACTTGTGTGTTGTGTTTCACACTAGTCATTTTCTTTTTAAATTATCAGGAGATGAAAGCAGCTTTTGATGCACTGTCTGCTTGAAGAACTGTTAGTAAGAGTTTTCCTGCTGACCGGTCTTGGTTTAAAAACTCAAAATTTTGCAGGGAGGGAAGCTGAGTCTAGAATGACGCAGTTTTAACGAGAGGATGGAATACTATTTAAAATCCTGTCAAGGCTGTTTCTAGGCACAGTAACACTCTGATCCGAATGCTTTCATGCTCTGGTCTTACATTAGCATTATAACATGCTCACAATGACAGTGTTGGCAGGTTACCATTCGCAAATGAGCTAAAACATTAAACTGTGGATCATGGGAAAGTCATTAGCTATCCTTATACAACATACAAGGCAGAGGTGGATAAATAAAATATATAATGATGTAAAACTGTCCAATAGCTTTGAGATGATTCATCTGGATCAATGGTTAACTGACAGATCAATAGATGCTGATGCCTCCAGAGCCATGTTGTGAGCATAAAAAATATGGATTTCTTTCTGAGATGAAGACTTATTAATATATTAGAATGTTAGATGGCTGAAGGGGCTGGTTGTGTCTTGTGTGTTGTACTGTACATGTGGTTGCATTAGCTGGGGATCAAACCCCCAATCTCCCAGTTGAGGGATGACCAACTCTACCACTGAGCTGCCCAAATGACCAATAAAACAAACATGCAGAAATGTGTAACACAAAAAGTTACACGTACACATTTCCTGCAAAGGATCATTAATGGGGTAAAAGACAGATGGAAATACAAAGAATTTTTTTAAACGTTCCTTGTCCTTGATGAATATCCCTTCAGTGGAGCAGCAGCTTTAGTTGACAGGATGATACAAACTAAACAGTGTCCTTTTTTGCCAATGATTAACCTAATAAAATGTGGCTCATATCAATCATCAGATTTGGATTTGTCTGAACAAAAACCATGAAAGAGGGGCAAGTTAGGTGTCTCTAAATTTACTGCCATGAGAATGAAAAACAAAGAACAGGGACGAGCTCCACTTACTCTTTTGTACAGGGGTCGGTGCTGCTTGTACTGTTAGAAGCTAGACTTCTGCACTGTGGGATTTGCAGTCTGCTCCACCCAGCTAATGAATAGTGATTAGATCAAATGAATGTACGCTGAACTAAGACAACAAGATTTACAAACATCATTTTCCACTTCACTGCTCTGTTTCTGCCTTCTTTGTGAGACTGAGAAACGACCTCTGAGTGATCCAATGAAACAGGCTGTGGCAAATCCTGACAACATCCACTGTTCAAGCGGTGAGGCAAAAGCCTAATCTTTCCAATACTTTCTCTGTTCATGTGCTGACAGATGTTCATAGCCTTAGGCTTCACACAGTGCATTCAAAGTCGAGTTTTACATTGAAAAAGTATGCATGCAGGGGGGAAAAAAGTCAGCGGTTGTGGATTGCGTAAAGATCTTTTCTTATTCAAGGCCTAGAATGAAGACTGTTTATCTTCTGCTTATAGGTTTCTTTGGGTTGAGATCTTCAGAAGTGGATATTAATTAAAAAACTGGTTCTGTACCCACAAGCTCACCAAAACAGTTAGAGTAAATCATGTTTAAAAGATACTTTAAATACATGCTGGCAGAGATTTCTCAAAGGTTACATGTGCTGTCACTCAGCCAAAGTTCATCTAATGATAACAGAAACTTTGGCATGCTGAAGCTGAACAGGAACATACCTGAACAGAGTGGGCCTTGAGCAAGGCTTGCTATGGATGTCATCCTCTTTGAATCAACAGGCAGGTTGGAGGCCCACACAATATTCAAATCATGAGGTTTGGTCTTGTTCCACACATTTGCTTACATGCAGGCTTGACTGCAAATTATTTTTACAGTATTAATTGAAAGCCAGATTTGCTGTGATGAAGTCATTGTCCAAGTGGTTTTTTCAGTGAATATTTCTGCATTTTAACTCTAACAGCTCATACTGATGAAACTGACAATGTGATCATCTGTGTCCATCCAAATTCCAAACACAAGAGCTCTCACCAAACTACAGACAACCAGTCAGACAGTATGGAGGGAGTTTGCCCTTTTGTCTAGGTCACATCTGTAATCTCCTCTAAATACATTTACTGGAAGTGGGAGCAAAGTACAGTAGTCTGACTGACTGCCACCACAGCTGGACAGAGAATGGCCACACCACTCAGATTTCATTCAAATCAGTGTTTATCTTTTGAGAAGTGCATCATTATATGTAATAAACTTAAATGTCAGAATAAAAATATGTCAAAATGGCAGTAACAAATGCTTGAATCCTGCAGTGGCGCAGGATTTAAAAATACTTCAAAGTGGGAGTTGCAGTGATGATATTGTGACTACGCTCACCAAAATCAGAGTTTGTCAGAAACACCAACAGATTGGGGGTTATGGTAAGACTAGGGTAGGAAAGGGCCTATGTAAATCAGCCAGGCCTTAAAAGCAGCTTGATTTGACGTGAAAAATGGCTTCAACTACTCAACATCATTCAGGAAGCATTAGAAACATATTAAAGAAAGGTTTAAGTGTAAACCTATGGTAAAGCATCTGTACTCGATTGCCTTGGAAAAGGTCAAGTAATACATATCTGCATCTAGAAAATACCTAGACCTATAAAAGAGCTCAACCGGACCAGCTCAGTGTACATTATCCAAAAATCTACCATTGTACAATAAAACATGCAGAGAGAATAATTTATATCTTATCAATTTTGAGACAAAACCTAAAATGGACCTACTTCAGCAGGATAGGTAAAGCCAGGTAAGGTGTCTCTTCAAACATCAAATCCAGACTCATATTTCTCATCTTTAATATGAAACATCCAGTCAGTCAAAAGACTTTAGTGAGGGAAGTTGACATTTAACTTTAATAATAGACTCACAGAAACTTTGCACAAAGATGAGTTTAGTTGACAAGTTAAGAAATATGTCTTAGGTTACAGAGCAACTAAGAGGAAAGAGCAGCAGTAGAGCACCATTAAATAATCTCCATATAAACACTTAGCCAACATGGTGGTATCTGTATCCAATTCCCCAGTCTTATAAAGACGCCCTCTTGTATAAACACTGTCCTTTGAAGCGAGTTTCATGGACCCCTTGGTGGACATGTGGAGGGACTACCATGACTTTTACAGTAATGTCTGATGCCCCGGGCCTCAGGCCTCATGCTTCTCATTCAGACTAGCCTGAAAGGCAACTTGTAGACTGGTTCTGATTCAAAGGGCAGAAACCATCTGAAGCCAACACCAACCGGCCAGGGTGGAGTCAGTAGTCTTTGAACTTTGTCCCAAATCAGAACCATGACTCAGGGTAATAGGTTGGATGTTGGGAATTAGACAGACATAATGGAAAGCACTACCAGTGGAACTAAAACCACGCAATCCAAGGGCCCCATGGATAAGAACCCTGAGTGATAAAGCTATATAACTCAGTTCAATATATCATTAGGAAGAGATAAACTGCAGCTAAAAACTACAATTAACACTTCAATGCAATCAAATCCTCCTGTAAAACACAGTGGTGATGATTAAAAAACAGTCCAGTTCATTTCTTTTCACAAGATGAGATGAGGAAGTGTGTACTTAATGGTTTCTGTCTGTTGGTGTTAGCAGGTTAAGGAAAGAAAGGGGATACACTATTTCACTCCCTGTATCCATGAGGTCCATGAAAGCATTGTATATAGCAACCTGTTATTCTGCCTGACTCCTATCTAGTAATCAACCGACACTATGCTACAGGACAGCCAATGCCATTAAATGAAATTATAAGGGCTGAAACCAAAGCCTGAAAGAAAACCTGCAAATGCCCACCAAACTCCTCTCAGTTGTATTTTTACACACAACAGAAGACTGAATCCATGAATTCATTTCAATCAATCAATTCAATCAATACATTTTTATTTGTATAGCGTCAACTCATAACAAGTGTTATCTTGAAACACTTTACAAAAAGCAGGTAAAATACCTTACTCTTTGTCTGTTGACTTTACAAAAGAGCAGGTAAAAAGACCTTACTCATTGTTATGTTACAAAGATTTGAATGCAAATGCCTGAGGTGGATAGGTCGTAGTTGAAATCAGTATCTTCAGAGATAATAGACCTGATAGGGAAAAAACATGATCAAGAAATCTGGCGACCTAAAGTTCATTTTACCATAATCCCAGTTTTATGTTGAGGCGGGAAGTTAAGATAATAAAAGAGCCCAAACCCCCCATGAGTATTGACTAATAACCTACGGTATTCATGAGAGAATGTTTTTTTTTTTTGATTCATCTTGGCCACTGCTGGCTTTGGTGTCTGCAGTTTTCCTGAATCAAGTCAGCTACATTCCTCACTATCCAAAATTCATTATGTTCATCCATATGCTTGATATCTTTGTATTTTTCAATGAATGGGGTTAGTTAATAATGATGGGCACTTTATTCTGCCATCAGTGTGTGAATGTGGTGTGAATTGGTGAATGTGACATGTAGTGTAAAAGTGCATTCAGTAGACAAGAGTCAAGAAAAGCACTATACAAGTCCAGGTCCATTTACCAAGTCCATCTACATGAGTTCAACTGTCAGCTTGGATTTCTGCTCTTTCTGTGCTTGTGTAGAAAATGACTTGTCAGAGCAGCAACCCAGAATCTGGGTGCACAGGATGATTTGGACGAGAAGGCGGCACACATTGGGATTTAATCCTTCAATTAATTTACTATCAACACTGATTGATAATCCATATAAACTGTGAGAAGAATTCCCTTTCAGGGGATCTGTAATATGTAACACAGCATTAAACAATGTTACTGTCTCATGTTGTTCAATCTGAGTCTTTGAACAAACAAAACGACTAACCAAACCAGCTTAAGGTTTTCTGTCCAACGAGTGAATCATACTGCTGAGCCTTGTGAAAAATGTAGATCAATGCAATCAGTGAACAGACCAACAACTTACATCACCCGTACACAATGTGAGAACATGGAAACATGAAAATTAAGGGGATGACTCATCAGCCATACAAGCTCTGACTGTCAGGGGGAGAGCAGTCAGGAGAACAGCTTACTGAAAGGAAATAAGGAGAGGATCCATTGATTTCACTGCTTTAGCTGAACAGTTCATGCAGATTAACAAAAACACAGCATAGGGTGGACACTGTTTCGTTTATAATCATAATACCTGCACATTTTGAGGAGGGTGGTACAAAGGGAAGATTTGTTTTGCTGAGTAATGCTCACTGTTTAGAGCCCAGCAGTGAGAAAACACTCAACATACCTAGAATTATCATATCACCATGCAAACATTGATGTAATAAGGGTGATGTGAGGGGGATGACTTTTCATTTACCCATGTCCCACCTAGTTAAGATTTCATCATGAGTTGTCTCTTGTATGTCTTGTTTTCATTGTTGAGGTCTTTTGAATTGCCAGCAGGAAGCAATATTTCATGAAGCATATATAGGAGGTTAGAGCTAACGTATCAACAATCTCAGATGAGTAACATGAACTTACTAAACACTCTGAAGCTGCTGCCTGCTGGGATCTTTCACTAACCTCTTTTTTCTGTAGTTTTCACTGTCAGCTTTGGGCACTGTTTTAAGGCCTATGCTTGTTGTTATTTTGGACATTTGCACCATGGTAGATACTGTTTACTTCGAAGTCACGCTGAAACAATCAGTGGAGCTTTTGATACAAATAGCACTGGAGTCTATAAGATATGTAAATATTGGAAATAATAAATTATTGTGCTTTAGTCAACGATACATCAGGTGTTGTCGGTGATCTCAATTCAAAAATAATTTAAAAAACAGACCCAGATTCAACAAAAATGTGTTTGTATTGTTTACATTATAAAAATTAATAAGTTGTACTTTTTAGATCCCCAACTTTAGAAAATCTATAATAAATAATTTATCATTGGTCTCTTGCTCATCTAGGGACCCCAAAGTGAGTGTCCTCAATCCAAACTATGAAACCATGGTGCCCATTTAAGATCAAGGTGGCTGCAGGGCACAAGAAAAACAGTTTTCATTCATGTTTTTTGTAACTGCTAATCTTATTCTTAGTCTTACCTCCAGTGCAGATTGGAGGAATATCAGATTCCAAGTTGGAGCAGATAGAAAAAGCTCCGGTGATGTTTGGGGGATGTGAAGAGGAAGTGTATTGTTTACATGGAGTCAGTAAAGAGGTTAGGGGCTACAGCTTCTCTCCCTATTTCTTACCAGCAAATAGAGTTACTTAATTTCTCTAACACTGGAATTTTACATTTCATCTTATGCTTCACCTTTACCACACATCTCCCTTGAACTCTTCTGCATCCTCATATGGAGGCATGCCTCTGGTTTTAAACTCACTGCTCTGGGGCATTCAGTGAAAGGCACTTCTAACTTTAATACCAAGTTGGTCTTTTATTGAGAAAGCCATTGCAACCTATTAGGTCCAATACCTTTGAAGATCTCCTTCTGCCCCTGAGAGCTACAGATCCCCATAAAAGGTAATTAAATAGAGTATGTTCCTTTACACTGAAAGCACACACTTACTTGTACTGAAGAGCTGATTTCAGCAGCAAAGCCTCCGGTTATTGGTGCCTCATGACTGATGAGCAGACGTCCAGTTTTCACTACAGACTGTAAAAATAGAAGAAAAAACACATTATTATTAAAAAGGGCTTTATTGATCCTCTTTAGAATGATTTCAAGCAAGCAATGATCCTTATTGACATGGTTGCAGTTATCAACAATATCAGATATTTACTGGATGCTATTTATTTGCAATGTGATGTTGGAGCAACCTGGCACCAGAATTTCCAACTGGAGTAATCAAGTTTTATCTTATCTTAAAACTTGTTGGCCAATTCATGCACATCAGATTTCATAATTATGGAAATATTAATGGGAAAGGTATAAAAGATTCCACCAAGAAGCAAAATGCTGTGGCTGAAGAAAGCTACCAAGCAGTGACTTTTGCTTGGACATAAAGGCGTGCAGAGCTAAGGCTGTAACAGCTGGAGGTGTCATGTTTAGGCTGTGCCAGGAGATGGGTGTTACCAAAGAAGTTTGGTTTAAAAACTGCCTGCTGTGGTTTTCTATGTCTGATACTATTCTCTGGCTGCATGTGTGTGTAGCTGTGTCCCTGTATAAAATGGATATGACACAATTGTATGAGCTGTAGAGGGCTGATTTAGACTGGTACACAGGGCCAATGGGACAATCATGGACATTAGAGGTCTGTGACTCCAGAGGCATTTGCATTTGGGTTTTCTGTAACCTGACATTACTGCAGAAGGATGCCTCTGCTCCACCCGTTATCTACCACAGCACTAAACCGATACTATACTATAATCTCATCCACTGGCCACAGGTCCAGACCAAAGCTATGTCTGTTCTTTGCAACTTCAGCAAAGCCCTCCTTTTCACTACAAAGTTGTTGCATTTCTGTTTTTCTTCTAAAAGTGGAATCCTGATGTGTTAATTTTCCACTCAAACATCAGCACTGAACTATAAAGTCTTAATTTAACTACCTGGGGGTAAATATTAGATACCTCTACCTCAAAATAACAAACCAAGTCGAACAGCCACCATCATTAAACCATAATTCAGCTAAAATTAAGATTGATATGTCCCCATGGCACAGTAAATCATGTCAGCCATTTTCCCTTCAAACAGGGCCACACAGTATCAAACAAAGGGACATTCTAAGGCTCCACGGTGATGCCAAACAGGCTAATGTTTACATTTCGATGTCCTGGGTTTGGCTGTGAAGTACTAAATAACTGTGGCAAACTGTACCACTATCACACACTAATATTGGGAGCTAACTGAATCTGCAATGTCACTCCTGGACACGAAAGCTCTCCTTCCACTCAGCAGTGCAGTACAGTACACTTTTATTGGCGTTTCAGCAGTCAAAACTTGGGAATAGTACCAAAATAACCAGTTCATACCGTCCTACTTCGTTGCTACCCTTCTGTTGGGTGTCAAGCTTATTGATAGGACCCTAAACGCTTGAGCTGGACACACTGCAGTCCATTGATTGTTCAAAATAATAGTCACTTCCAGTGCAACAGCGGTAATAAGGGACAAAAACAAAATGCACCATGTTTGATTATCTAATGGATGAGACTAATTTCAACGCTTTTTTTTTTTCTTTTTTTTTGGCCAATATCAGTATGTAGAAATGTCCCATGGATGACCTGGGAGGTGCAGACCTCTTCTTCTTTATTTACTGTGTCAAGTTAGTCTTCATTTAATTTTTTTGGCAGGCTACACCGTGTCGCTATGTAGCTGACATCCGGCCTCCCCGCGCTTACCAAGTAAGGATACAATTGGCTGTGGAACGCAAGCAAGATCAGAGTTTACCATACTTAACCATATCGAACTGTACTGTACCAAACCATACAGCTTACGGCTCAACTGAAGATCTACCAAAATGCATCTTCCTGGTGGGGCACACTTTAATATTTTGAGCTATCTAGCAGCTGAGATGCAAGATTAATGAATCTAACCTTGATATAGAAAATCTAAATTCAATGCTCATTTTACTTCACAGAGGATACATATCAAGCAATGCTAATCCTGTTGAGGGGAATGAGTTCAGAGTGAAAAAAATCACTGGTTATATGACACTTTGTTCAGGAATGTGGGAGATAATAGCAACACTGGAGGACAATAACAACAGTTGGCAATCTGCACAGTTAGGACGAATCAAATGAGGGGTTGAGAGGAGGGCGATGTCTTGATATGACATGTTGCTGTGAGGTTCGCCTTAGCGTGATGACTCATACAGGTGTGGTGCTGTCCAATCTTCTGCCCCGCCCTGATTCTGAACCCATTCCTCATCTTACACACATGCTCTACAAACTATGAATGTGTGAACATAACTTTGAATGAACATTGTGACACTAGCATCACCCTAATATCCCTGCTGCTCAGTTCCCAGAGGGGACACTCGTCATAGCACTCGCTGCGTCAGGAATGCATTACTCAGATACTTTTGACACAAAAGAATCCTGCCACTGTCTTACAATATCCTGGGATAGAATTTCAGACTCTGAGGCCATGGGAAGAATTCTGACCCATTTAATAGACTTGTCCCAAAACCCTGTAGAGTAAACATAAGTGACGGTCACTGGCTGCTATTAACTGGTTTAGAAAGCTATTCCAGAAGAATAGCTACATACCAGTGCATAAACTGACAAAGTGCTTAAAAGATGTCAAAATGCTGTGATGTTTGGGACAGCAAAGTGGCACCTCATGCACTGGTAAAGTAGGTTATGCAGTCCATTTGTGGAAAAGGGGAATGACAAAGTATATAAATGTTTTGTTAAACCATGACATTTTCTCACTGCACCACTACTTTGAACATATTGTTTGAACTTAGTAGGGTTCCTGCATGTTTAATACATCCCCTGACAATGCTGCACTTGCTAGACAGAATTATTATTATTTTTAAAGATGATGTTTCTGGCCCCCGCCCTTCATTTGATAAGACAGCTGAAAAAAAACAGACAGGAAATGTGGTGAGAGAGAGAGCAGCATCCACCAAATGGTGTCAGGATCAAGATAAAGCTGCAAGGGCTGTAGCCTCTGCACAGGGGGCGCTAGTCCTACCAACTGAGCCAAATCTGCACCATGCTAGACAGAAATTGTATGTCTAGTTCAAACAAAGTATGAATTGTTTAAAGTAGTTTATAGTCTCAAACAACATTTGACATTTGTCTGATTAGGATACAATTTGCTTCAATAATATTTGATATATGAGTATTCTTGATGTAAAGGTTTGCCTCTGTGAGAGAAGATAACTGAGGCAACACCGAAAACTGACTACAGAGTATATACAATGCCTTGTATAGAATAAATGCTTCATGCAAGAGTTCAAAAGTGGCTGATGAGTCTCCAGCCATGCTAGTGGCGTTGTGAAGCTGTACTAGGGAAAAGTGTCGTCGTGATCAAGTCAAACAAAAGAACTCCAAATCAGGGCTGATCGATATATCATAAAAGTCGCAATTGCGATGCGCACATTGCAATAGCCTTAACGCAGGACATGCAATATCAATAATGTGACCTGAAGCACGTCATGCTGCCATTTTTTGGTTGTTTGATGCAAACAAAAAACCGCCAGTTTCCTCGTTTGAACACGTTATCTACAATACAAGTCTGTCTGATATCACCTTTAGTGGAAACAGAACAGACCACTGTGCATGCATAGTCTGTGTTTCCCCCTGCATGGGAAATGTAGAAGTGAAGCTGCTGCCGTTACAGATACACTTTCATGACGCTCGAGGCAGATTTTAAATCCATAAAGTCCCCTATCAGGTATCGGCCTGTTAACACTGTGGCCACATATACGGATGTGCAACTGATTGTTGACTTTCAGCAGCTACACCTGCAAGCCCGTGAGGTTTAGTGAGTGACTGGCAGCCCAAGACGGTGAGCTTTTTGTGTAATCAGAAGTGACTATCACTTGGCTGGTCATGCAAACTAAACATAACTTTGAAGATCATTAGAAAGGGATGAGGACATACAAGCAACACTGAAGTAGAAACAAAGTTTATTTATAAAGTTTATGAAGAAGAAAAGTGCTGCTCCCATTTTCTTTCCACATGTCGTCTTTACATCTGTGTGTGTGTGTGTGTCAGAGTTACTGTCAGAGGGCTGGATCCAGTCTGTGATGCAAGTAGGACGCAGCATTGAATTGATGTACATAGAGACGTTTTTTTTCCCCGTTATATTTTTTCAATATTAATGGACTCAAGCTTGTAAAGTGCTTTTCTAGTCTTTTGACTATTCAGTTCTTTCACAGTCACACCTACCTCTTCACACACTGATAGCAGAGGCTGCTATGTAAAGAGACCATCAGAAGTAACTAACCCCATTCATACACTTGCACACACCAAGGACTCATCGGACATGTTGCTGCAGGAGCTGGTATTTTTATTCGACTGGAGCAAAAGGTTAAAGGTCAGTTGGATATCCATTACTCCATTGGCTTCAACGTAAGTATATTAAGCCCCATTTTCACCGAGCAGTTCAGTTCGGTAAGTCGCGCATTCTGTGGCGTTTCCACTATCAAAAGTCGGGAAAGGTCCCAAATTACCGTCCCGTACCGTCCTACTTTTTGCTCCCCTTTTGTTGGGGTGCCAAGTCTACTGATTCGACCCTAAAAGGTGGAGCTAAATACTGCAGTCCGTTGATTGGTCGAAAGGATCGTCACTTCCTGTGCGACAGCGGACGGCTGTATTTTTCCTCGTCTGAAACAAAGCTTCATTGTGTTTTGTAACAAATAACCACAAGCCGATGAGAAAGACCAGGACCTGCTGGATGTCCTCCATTGTTGCTCTTTGTTTACTGTGTCGCGTTCTTCTTCTTCGTCGAATTTATTAGCAGGGTATACTGTGTCACGCTGCTATGATGTCACGCTATTATGTAGCTGACGCGGCTATCGGCATCCGGCTTACACGCCGCCTACCAAAAAAGAGTACGGTAACTACAGCTGGCAGTTTTAACGCAAACAGGTTCAGGCTTTACCGAACCAAACCGTACCAAACTGTACTGATCCATACCGGACCGCTCGGTGGAAACGAGTTTCTATTGTCAGATTGTAACCCACATATCTGCATACTAAGACC